AGTGAAAATTGCCATTTCAATATATAGTCGATATTATGAGGAGAAGGGGAACTCAGATGAAAGAGAAAGGGGTCTCGCTCTGGGAGAATTTAACATTTGAAACAGTAAAAATTATTACTTTTAAAATATACATTTTACCAGCCCAAGCAAGTCAATATATATAATTACAGTTTGATTTTTAGCGTTGTGTTTAAAATTTACCATTTTACTTTGTAAATATTGACGTTGCTTGTATTAGAAATTTACTAACTTTATTTTATACTTTTTACATATCATAAGATCATTTTTTAGGTACGAAATGATAAATATCAAAGTCTGAATTGTTAATTATTATACTTAAACATTTTAGACATTTACATAGCGAATATTACTGTTTGAAATAGTATTTTCTTCCATGTAAAGAGTAAATTGTAACGTTTAAATGGTAAATATTATAAAGTGAATAGTAAAATCACGATTTTACTGTTTCGAATGGTAATTTTTAGCAGTTGATCATTACTTATTATAGTTTACTTTTTTCCGTGTGATTTAAATAATTTAGAGAGTAAGGAAAATTTTGTGACGAGCATATTATTATTTTTAAAGGAATTTTTATAGTTTAATTTGGTATCATCAGAAAAGTCGAGACAAGAATAAGTGCCTTTTAGTTTTATATATTTTTTAGTAATCAATTTTTTAATGTCAAGATTTTGGAGGAGTTTTTAATAGTTTTTTGGTTCTATAAATTTTTTCGGAGACATTTGTCCATTAAATTATTTGTATTTGATCCTGTGATAGCACTATTATTTTTAAAATTTATTTAAAAAGTACCCAAACTGTGTACAGTGTGATTTTAAATATAAAAAAATCATTAAGGCAAAATTTTCTTATTCATAATTTATAAACCTCGGCAGTCGCATAATGACCGAAGTTTTCTAGTAATATTGTTAATAAAATTAGAGCTTGAATTTATATGCATTGAAAATTGCCCTGAAAATAAATGTTCTTTGTATCTAATAATAAAAAAAAATTGAACGCGATAAAATTAAATACCTCGTAAAAAAAGCGAATTTTTGGAGAATCGTTTGACGTTTCAGAGGTTCTTTTATGTTTCATATATATTTATATAAAATTTTAATAGTTTTATTTATTTAAAATCCTTTTTTAAAAATGTTTCCACTCTGCACGATTCCCATTTGTACTTGCTCACCTAGCGGCATGAACATGACGCAAAGAGAGTGGATTGTATCGTGAATGATTGGCGTGTTCCAAGAGAACGCTCTTTATTATTAAAGGCAACGAGTTTTTAACGCAAAACAAAGAGAGATACGATGTTGAAAGATAAAAAATATAAAATAACGAATTTAACTGCACAAAAAAGTATATAATAAATGGACAGAAAGAATATAAATTGAAAGGAGAATATATATAGTTTGTATTTACTTTAGTTTCGGATTTCGAGCTGGTTTTGTTGATCGCGTCCTTTGGGATTCCTCCTAATGGTTTTAAATCATCAAGGCTTGGAAATCCAGCGAACATTTTATTCATTTCTTCTCTCATTTGCTTCACCATATCTGAAACAAAAAAATTCGTAGTGTCAATTTTTAAATTTTTTGTTTCTCTATACTCATTAGATTTATTACTGATTCATTTTTAATTAATATCACACATTGTTAGTGTTGATATTTATGGTTCATTATATTCAGGTCAAAAGATATTTTTTACGCTGGGATTTAATTTTTTCTGGAAAAAATTTCGGTCGAACTGTTAATTGAAGCGACGATAAAAAATAATAACTATCGGAAAGTAATTATTATTCCTGTTGATCGATTAAATTAATAAAAGTTAAATGAGGAAAAATTATTCCAGCGTATGAACCGTTAATGTTTTGTTTTTTTTTTTCCATAAATTTTTTTTATTAAAATGAAAATTATTGAGCTTTAAAAAAATTAATTAAAATTTTTTATAATAATAAAGTTAGCCGACACTTTGGATTTTTTTTATTTTGCTTAATTTATTAAATTATAACTAAAAAAATATTTTCAAAAAATTGCACTTATTGTTTTTCATATTTTTAACACGTGAATTTTTTTTTTTAATTTTTGTAACCATTTTTTCAAAAAAAAAAAAAATTCTCAAAATTTTTAAACGTCGGCTAACTTAATTTTCATAAATTTTTTCGGCAAAAAAAAAATTTTTTTTTTCTTCTACAGTTAAAGATTTTATAAATTTTTGAAATGAAAAATTTATATAATAATAAAAAATTTTTTTCTTTTAAAAAAAGGTCCAATTTGTTAAAGCTGTAACAATTTTTTCCTTCTGTAGCAATAAAATACATGACATCTCTCAACTCAATTTATCGCACAATTCATTTTTTTTCGGGTCTGTCCTGTTATATAGTTTTATTTGATTTTATTTTTAGCAATGAAACCATGCTGTTAATGGAGAAATAAAATTGAGAAGAACCGAAGAAGAAAGAAAAGAAGAAAGGAAGAAATAAAAAAAGATAAAAAAAAAAAAAAATAGGAAGGGCAATTACGCGAGTCGTCGGTAGCTGAATTTTCATGGCTCGCTGAACCTTTTATATTATGGCATCGTGCGCTCGGTAATAGTGAGAAGTAAAGTCGATTATTCCTGAAATTTCATCGATTTTGAATAAACCGTGAATATCATTAATGTATAAGAATCAAGTGTCATTCGATATTATATTAAAATTTAATATTAAAATCCTTTTCACCGAGTCGTGCCCACCGAACGCGAGAATGAGGACGAAAAAAATCAATATAAAAATAGAAAATAAACGATCCATACTTATTTTTTATTATTTTATTCTTTCGTGAAATATTTACCTCGGTATTCTTCAGTTAGTGTTATATAAAAATAAAATTTGTTAAAAAATTCTCGAAACGGATATTCGCAATGTCTACACATATATATGTCTCGCAAATGAAAAATAAGAAATCATATATGCGCATCTGTAACTTGGGATGAATAAATTTATGGTGAGAAGTGTAGAGTGTCTAGAGGCCATTTTTATTATTCGTACCGACTCCAGATGACCTCCGTCCTACAATCCATCCTCGATTTATTTCTTTTCATCCATTTTTAAAACTAAATATATTAACTTTTAACCTTTTTTTTCCAAGCCGTTACTCTACATTTAACAATTTACTTTTTATGGTAATATTAAATTATTTAATACTTATCGGATATTAAAACATTCCGATCCCATAAATTGGTAATTCTCAATTATATTACATCCATTAAAGAACTAACCCGCAGTGACCTCTGTCGTGAAGCGATATCGGTATGGAAAAAATAGACCTAATAATGTATCTCTTTATATTTCAGATAAATTTTTTTATTACATTTTTTATGAATACCAGTAGTGGTATCAATTAAAAGGGGGTGTTTTAGTAATGTGTCCCATTAATTTTTTATATTGTGAAATATGCCAGATGAATATCGAGATTCATTGGTATATTTTAATAATTTCTTCTTTTTATTGAACCGATGAGGTTATGAAATATAATATCAACTTCTGAGCGGCTGAATAAATTATTTTAATACATTATCGCAGACTGATAGTAATTAATTATTTATTATTATCAATTATTTGTTCGATTGATTGAAACAATTGATAATAAAAACATATATTGATATTGTCAAAAAATAAATTTTTTAATCTAACAAATTATTGAAATAAATTTTAAATTTTTTCCACGGAAAAAAAGTCGAAAAATTGCATTATAAATAGTAATAAAGGTCGCTTCGTATAAAAAATTAGAAAAATTACAGTGCAAAATAACATTTTTTTTAATTCAAACTTTGAATGTTAATTTTCAGAATTTTCAATATAATATTAACATTTTACAATGTAATTCTTACGAAATCTGTAATAATTACAATCTGAAACTGTAATTTTTCCAGTTTTTTATACGGAGCGCCACTTTGCATTATATAATGTAATTTTTTTATTTTTCTTTTTTTCGTGCAGAGTTTAAAAATTCATGAAAATTAATTTCGCAGATGTTTGATAATTTTGAGAATTTTTCTAACAAATAAATTATGACAAAAAAATAAGAAAAAAAAAATTGACATGTAAAAATTAAAAAAATAGAAAAATGCAATTTTTCTAAAAATAATTTTCCAATCAATTGCAAGCCTGAATTTAAATTATTCTATTTACACTGGAATGATATTTTAATTTGTTCTTTTTATTAAAAAAATAGATTATATTTTTCTAAGTATCGTTAAATAATTAAAAAGAATAAATGATGTACGTGAATATTTATCATTTTGCTATAAATAAATTATGTAATTATTTAAAGCAAAAATTAATGAAAAAAAAAATAATTTTTCAGAACAAATTTGTTAAAAAAAATAAAAAAATGATGTCAACTTTAATTAGTGTCATTAAAAATAGAAATAATTAATTTTTTTTACAATAAAAAATTTTTTTAAGTTAAAATGTTTAGTCGGTCGGAACAAGCTGATTTTATAGCGTTGCGAATTAGCGGACGGAAACTAATCAGTGTCTTCCCTGGGGAAGGAAGTTGCATGTTTGTACCCAGTGCATGAGATTCCGACTTCATTTAGCCCCGGCAGGATCGCATTTGTTTATTGTAAACCTCAAAATAACCGATAGAGGTGACAGTTTAATTTATAGATGCGCCATAGGTCTTAAATTGTCTGGTTGCGACAACCTCCGGACATTAAAACTCGAGTACGAAGCTTCAATGCGGGCGATATGAAAACTTTAGCAGGTTGCGGGAGAAAACAAGCTCAGACTTCGTGTCATCAATCTAATTTCGTCGGATACGCTCTTGCTTCATTCCTTGCTGCACAATACTCCGTTTTATTCCACAAAAAGTTATGTTTGTATTATAACTTTGTGGTATTTGTCTTAAAACACCAGGATTGGATTGTTTAATTTGAGTTTATCCTTAATTAGAAATGTTTACAATATATAAGAACTTCATATTCAAACGTTCAGTGTATCGATTATTTATAAGAGCTCCGATAGATGGCGACAGGTGAATAATACTGCTAGTAGGCTGTACTTGAAAATGGCGTTTAATAAGTTAAAAGAGCGGGTTTTTTTTTTTTTTTAAATAATCACTCAAGGACGCAGAAAATTTAATATTTAATTCTTTTAATAATTATAACATTTGTACGCTGAAAAAAAAAACTAACTTTATTCAAGATAAAAATTTTTGAAGTAAAAAAAATTGTTTTATTGTCTTTAATTAATCAGAAAAATTGTTGAAGTTAATTTTACAAAGTTAAAAAAATTTTAGTCTTAAAAAAAAACGTTCGAAAAAAATTTTTTTTTAAATACTTTTTAAAAAAATGTTGAAATTATAGAAAAAAAAATTAATATTAATTAGAAAATTATTTTATATTTATTAATGACTTAATTGTATGCTTAAAGTAACAATTTTTAGTCTCGAAAATATTTTATTTAATTTTCTTGCATTAAATTGAAATTTTAAAAATTATTTCGCAAAATATATTAAAAACTGTATTTTTTATGAGTTTCAATGTTATAATTATAATTATAATTGTTATTATTATTATTATTATTATAATTATTAATTAATAAAAATTTTGCAATTTGACAAGATAATTATCTAGAAGATAAAAAATTTAATGTAATACCTTAATAAATTCATTTAGCAAGATTTACGAAATTTATTTATTTTTTCGCGTATATTGATGGAAAGGATAAACTCAAGTCATATAATAATAATAAACCTTTATATATGTCTGAGAATTGATAATAATATTCAATAATAATAATAATGATAACACTGATAATGATAACAATTCATGACTAGCCAGAGCACGTGCATGAAAACGCACCGATAAATTTTGCATATTTTATCCAACGCTTACAATACATTTGTCAGTGTAACTACCACATATATATATGACGTATACGCGGATATAGGCGTGTATTACTGCACACTCTCTGGTGTTCCATTCCCCGTCCATTCTTTCTGTCATTTTATTTCCTCGTCCCTCAATTATTATTACGACAGAAAATCGCAACAAAAGTACACATATGAAATCGTTAAAATTATCCGTTGAAATAATTCGAGCATTCATGTATATAAAATAGTATTTCTCGATGTTGCTTCAAATTATCACCGGATTCAACGATCTGACTGTCTTTGCTCCCAATATTGTTTGGAATAAAAAATAAATTCATACTTGATTAACTTATTTAACTATTAAATATTAAATTCATCCGATATCAATTAATGCGTACTATCAACCGTGAAAAAATATTTTTATAATTAACACTCGATTTTTTTTTTATGTCAATTATCAGTTTCATTGATGTGTAAATTGAGTATATTTTTTTATTTTTAATTCTCCTGGGAACGATTTAAGTTAATTAGCGTACGGAACAGTTAAAATTTTTTTTTTTTAGAAAAAAGTAATTTAAGATATCATCGTTAAAAAATTTTATTGTAGTTCTTGCTCTTTATTATCTTAAAATGTCGAAATTTTTGTAAAAATTTATATTTTTGTATTTTATTAAAAATAATTCAGATAAGGTAAAGTA